CCACAAGTACTCCTGTTCTTCTTTTTGCGGATACAGACTAACACGGCTGTTACTCTGAAACCTATCTATTCAAGACTCCACTATCTATTCAACAAAAGGTGACCTGTTGCCTTTGCCACCATGCTCTGGTATTTTCAGTGTGTGAGTGAACACAATGGATTTGGGAGCTTTCAATAAAACTTATGGAAAATGAGCGTAGCTTCTTTCCATTGTCAATCCTGCATGTGCTCACAAGTAGTGCATTGCTACATTAAGGAAATTAAAAAAAAAAATTAACTCCTCATTTACTGCTATGAAAAAAAAGCTTCACGGCAGAATAAGAAGTCAAGAAACAACGCTAAATATTCTACAAATTAACTTATTTTTGAATGTGAACAATAGGATTTCTTTTGCTTGTGTCTAACTATAGTTTGTCTGACCTTGAACTAGCCCACTATAATATGGACATGGAAAATGTTGATTAAATACTGTAACTCCATAATAAAATACATTATCATTCTGGCAATGTTTCTCATAATATTTTAAAGCCACAAATATGATATTTTTTATTTTGAAATGTTGTCATTTTTTTATTTTAGCATTGTTACTAAACACTGTTTAATTCTGATAACGGGTTCAAACAATTCGTTCTTATCCTTTTTTGTTTTGCCATCTAGTAACTGATAAAACAGGAGCTGGCAAGAAGGTATCCTGGTTACAACAGAGTCTCTGACTTCCTATTGATAATTTCTAAGCATTTAACAAAGGTTAAGTTATCAAAGGTATGAAAAATAGGCTTATTATCTGTAAGTAGACCCCATTAGGAAAGACAGTTTAAGCTGTTTTAGGCAAATTTATCTGGAAAATTGGGCTCTACATAAAATTAAGTCTATCTACCTATTTTCTGAGCACATACATTCTGAAGACAGCAAATACAAGAAAATGCAATGCCGCAGCTTAAATTTTCTGTTTGCCTGAATTACAAAAATATATTTTATATCTTTTCAAAGTAAAACAATATGTTAGTAGCTTTAACTGGGCAACTTGGACAGAAGGTACAAAAGAAGTGTGTTACTTGAACTAACAATAGAGATAACAGGTTCACCAATCATTTAGTTTTCATTCCTTTTTATTAAACCACTAAAAATGGAGTTTTATTACGTACTCTGACACTTCCCAACAGCAATCCACATCTGATAACTCTACACACACATATCGTTGAAATGAGTATAGTAGGGCCTCTTGAAAAGCTGCAGACTGATGACATGTTCAGAGAATGTACATGAACATAGCTGACAGACAGGTCTGTGGTGAAGAGTTAAGTGTCTAGGATGACACTTCCTTTTTGGTGACTGAGTAAGGAATGAACTCGCTCGAAAACGTTTTCATGTTTCTTTGCCCCGGACACCAAAGGAAGAATGATAAAATCCCAAGAATGCTATTTAACAAGGCTACAACTTTAGTAATTAACACATCTGGAAATTATCCAGGAATAACTCATCCAAAGCAGGTCATCCTTCTTTTAAAATCCACGCCAACTGGCGGAGGGCAGCCATCAGCTTCCCCCATTACTTTGTTTCACTTGGTAGATGGCTGCTCTCAGCCCCCTAAACAATTAACCTGGTCCCAGTATCATTGCTGGGACCCCAACACATCCCCATGGCATGGGGGTTAAGGAAAGTGTGGAAGAAGACGTTGTCTCCTTGCTGTAGCAAATATTAGAACCCCCATTCCCACCTTCTTTAGGACAGCCCTCTCCTAACCTTCTTACAATTCTGATTTATCAGGGAATTTAACCCTTATTGAATGAGTACCTACATTGGGCACCTGTCAAGTTGTAAAAATATGACTTTTACAACCTAACCTACCCATGGGTTCCTAGGCTGCTAAGAAGAATACAAAAACCCCCACATAGCCCACATCAATGACTTTCCAAGCCCTAAAAGACAACTAGAATGATGCCCACAGCAAGCTTTCAAAACCCAGTTCTACTCTAATCCCAAAGGTGAGGAGGGAAGAAGCTTTTCTTATGGTGCAGAATGGCACCCGTGGGCAGGGGGAAGAGCTTATAAGCCTTCCCCTTGGACACACAATAGCCAGTAGGCTTATGTTGCACCCTTCTGTCCAACTGATAAGCCACAAGGAGCCTGAGTGCCCACGTGGAGGGCGGAAAAGATGTGTGTGTAATCTTTAAAGGGGCAAAAGGTTTTCTTTCCCCTGCTGACCCAAACTCTCCCCACATCTGAGCTGCGTAGGGAGGAGGAGAACATTCTAATTATCAAAGAATAGGCATAAGCTATAATTATAGAAACAGTCCAGCCACTCATGAGCATACTGAATAAAATAATTTTGTTAATGGGAGTGTATAGAATTACAAATATTTTGAGACGATTTGTAACCTCACCTCACAAAAATTGGTTCCTATTTAACACATACAATTCTACAAATTTTTGCACATTTATGGCCCTGCCCATTAATAGATAATGCACTGTTTTCTATGGCATAGCAATTGGGAAGCAAGGCATAATGGCAACAAGGCCACTTTAGTTCTATTCACAGGACATAACTTATACACCACAGTTTTCTTACAAACTCATATTCTGCTCTGAAGCATTCAGGATGAACTCTTGCAAATTAAAGGTTAGTTATATATTCTTCTCTTGAGTAACATTAACCGCAGATGTAGTGGAGGGTGGGAGGAAGGAGGAAAGAAACAACCAGGAAGTGAATATGCCTGGAAAAAACTAATAAATGTAGTTACTTCATCCATAACAAAAACTGATAGTTCAATTTTTTTGTTTAAAGCAGCACCTAGTAATAAATCACAAGGATACAGCAGAACGTATATACCGATTGTTTTAGACCAGCAGTTCTCAAAGTATGTGGGACGCCTTCCAAGGGAGGTGTAGGAATGTGTAAAGAGAGGCTCGAGCTCTGTGCGTGGTATCCTATAGGGCCTGATTCCAACAGAAGTTGAGGTTGCTCAGCACTTTCCTGGGTCCCTAGTGAATACTGTGGGTGAAATTTTGGCCCCTGTTGAAGTCAAAGGCAAAATTCCCATTGACTTCAATGGGGCCAGGATTTTAAATTTGTTTGTTGGTTTCTTTACATATACTACACACGCAGAATACACAGAAAATGATCTTATATTGTTGAATGTACGTTTGGGGTTAGATAGTCTGCACCAATACACTTTGGGTATACAGATCTGTCGCATCTTACGCACATTTAACATGCACGATTTCAGCTTTACGCAGTCTGCAAAAACAAAAAAACAAAAAAGAGAAAAATAACAATTTTAATACTGTACCCGTAGTGCGGGCGATTCCGCCTGCCATTATACTCAATGTAATTTTGACTATAGGCGATTTTCGCTTTACGCGCTGACTGCGGAACGTAACCCCAGCATAAGATGTGACAGACCTGTACCGCAAGAAGGACAGGAGACTTGTTATGGGTTTTAATCAGGCCGCAACTTTGTTATATAGATGTCTGGGACTACCTGGAAGATAAAGTGTACAGTTCAGGCAAATCCATGCTTATTCAAATCAATTCTCCAGGGCTTCCACCAGCCCCCCTTTGTTTCCATCCAGGTCCCCCAGCCGATCCATGGCTTGGACCTTACCATCCACCAGCCTCGCAAGAGGCTTAAGGAGGGCTATGAGAATGGGGGGTGGGGTTGGCTCCCTGCCGTACCAGGTCATGGGAGTCCCCGAAGCCCCTCCCCCATTCTGTTTCTTTATCCAGTATCTCCTTTTAAGTCCTTTACCTGGCCATTTATCTGGTCAGTGGCTGCCCTCCCTATGGAGTACCTGCACTGAACGTCCGCCCAAAATAAGTTGCGACATATGGCCTACCACCTTTTCTATTCACCAGAAAAGGTCCATCCTCACACCCGCTGTGAGGAAGGCGAAAAAAACACACTCCACCAAAGCCAATTCTGGTGATGTGGGAAAAATTCCTTCCCAGCCCCCCTTTAAAAGGGGCGACTAATGTAATGCCCACAGCAGGTCGTAACCCAGCCTACCATTCGCCTCCACTTGCTGACTACTAGGGGAGGGAGGGTGGGTGCTGGCTTCCTCGCTGCTTTCACATAGAGACTTGCCCCACCCAGGTTTCGTACCTTTATGCACATTCCTGGGGGAGGAGGGGAGAGGTGTCATTGCTGCAAATTTGACTACCGAGCACCTTTTACAGCAGTTTCTGACCTTCTTCCTCTCTCCCAGGGCCGGCTCCAGGCACCAGCTTGCCAAGCAGGTGCTTGGGGCGGCCACTCCAGAGAGGGGCGGCACGTCCAGCTATTCGGCGGACGGTCCCTCACCCCTGCTTGGAGCGAAGGACCTCCCGCCGAATTGCTGCCGCAGATCGCGATTGCGGCTTTTTTTGCGCCGCTTGGGGCGGCAAAAACCTTGGAGCCAGCCCTACTCTCTGCCCCTCTCCCCCAACCACAAAGCAGAGCTGTCCTTCTTTGGGTAAGCCCACACAAATTTTGCCCCACCTTTAGTTGTGGTGCAGTCATTTGCATAATCTGAAATGCTTGGGCATTAGCTGTATTTACAAGATGTGTACCTTAGAGCAGAGAAAAGTTTCTTACTTCACAGCCTTAATCACCTGTAAAATGTTTGTGTATGAATCACACCATTATTAGAGTATTAGAGTTTAATACTTCTATTTTTTTAAAAGTCAAATTTTTGTAAAATTAATGCCATTTTTATAAATGGCCATAAGACAAGTCATATTCCAAATTTAAATTATGTGCATACATTTTACATATAAACATTTAGATAAAATATTAATAGTTACCAACTAAATCAATTCTGCAACATCTATTCATTGCGTTTCTGGTCTCTCTCATTTTATTTATGTTTGACCCGCACTATTACAAATTTCCAACTTGGAAAACAGATTTAGATTTTTTTTTGCAATTTAAACTATTTTTGACCTTTCATTCTCAGTATTACTTTATATTACTCCTTGGTTGCAAACATTTAGGGGGAGATTTTCAAAAGCAATTAAAGGATTTTAGGAGTACAAGTGGCACTGTAAGCTAGTGATACAGGTAATAACAAACTGGCTAGGCACTTTTAAAAATCTTCCCCTTAACTTGCATGCAAATAACTAAAAATATAAGTAACACATGGGTTAAGAACTTACCAAGTTTTTATTTCAGGGTGCAAAGACATTTCTTCAGGAAGGAAAAACCGGTGCCACTTTATAGATTTAAGTAGTTCTGGAGACACCGTTTTAGATACATCATAATAGTGACCAAATCGTGCAGAAGCTGCTGGACTGACCTGTGAAAACATACTATACTAATTATAATAATTCCTTACATGATTTGTCATAAAAACATAATTACTTGCTATACCGCTAATCGAAATCTATAATTTTTCATTTAGGCTTTATGTACGTATATAACAAAGAATTTGTCAGTAGTGAACTTTAAAAGTTATGGAAGGAAAAAAGCAAGAGATAGGGATCCTCAGTAATCCTACCTTTCTGAAGTTCTGTGTTGTGGAGCTTACATGCAGATTTCAACCCTTACTGCTCCAGTTGGTCCCACCTAAAAAAGTGGGTCAGGTATCCAAAAGTATGCACTTTTGTGCACACTCTAAAACAGGCATACAAAGACACCGGGAACAAATTAGGCATTTCAATACCTATATTAGGCACAGGCAAAAACACAAACATTTTGCACATTGGCTTTTGAAAGGCTGTCCAATTATGTTTATATGTAATCTGTAAAATAAAATATTGCCTTTTCATAGCTTCCAACATCATTTCTTAAAGAAAATTAAAACAAAAAAGAAAAAATGGCTTGAAATCATTAAGTTTGAAAGTGTTTTTTAATTTCTTGAATTTGCAATAACTTCATGGTAGGTATTACTAAGACATTAGACAATAGTAACCATTCTTGTCATATAATAAAGGTGCCTAATATTAAGAGAACAGAATAAAAGCGTTTCAATAAAGTCACAAAAACAAAGTCAAGTTGAGCTCTAGTGAGATATTATTACTCCTTATACATTCATTAGCATGGCGGACACAGGGAAGAGTTCTACACAATGAGAACTGGTGAAAACCCTGCATGACACACAACTTAGAATGTTATTTGAATTACAGAAGTAAATGCATGATAAAAAACAAGAAAAACTAAATTGATCTAAAATCTGTGCAAATATCTACATATATTTTGTTTTGTATATTAAACAAACAAAAACATACATTATAAAATAATGTTTTTATGTAATGTTCTCTTTTGTTCTCTTTCTGCCATCCATCCCCATTAAAAATGCTATCCCAGTTTCAATGGTCAGGAATGGTTCAACTCCAAAAGTAAGTTAGAAAAGAAGTGACTTGACACAGACATGAGACACTGCATACTAGTCTCATTTATTAGCCAATAAGTAGGTATAAGATCCTGAAAGGAATATCGGATGACAAAAGCCAAATTAAGCTTAAAACTCAAAGCTACAGCACAACACATTCACAACTCTAGCAATTCAGTGTTGCCAATCTGACTGTCTCTCACCAACTGTTCCAATCAATCTGTGACTTCATGTTTTAACTAGGGTTACCATACGTCCGGATTTTCCCGGACATGTCCGGCTTTTGGGGGGCTCAAATCCCCGTCCGGGGGGAAATCCCCAAAA